CCGCTCTATCCATCCACACGTGTGGTGCCGCGTGTCGTTGACGCCTTCCCCTTCCCCTTCCCCGTTCTTTCCTCCCTCAAACTCCGTAAACTCCATTCCCATATTCCCCCTCCATCCACTGTCGCGTGCCGCTCCTCCTGCCCCCGCGAGGGAAGGAGGACGCGGTTCCGCTCCCCAATGCGCGTCTCCGCTCTTCCTATCTATTCCCATTCCTGCCCATCCACCCATGTCGTCTTCGCGCTGGTTGGTTTTCGCTCTCCCTCCCTCCTCCCCTTTCCCGTTCCCCTCTTCCCGTCCCCTCGTCCCCTCCTCCTCCTCTTCCTCCTTCCCACGCTCTCTCCCAACGCGCTCCAACGCTCTCTCCCTCTCCTTCTCCCTCCCCTCCTCTCCCCCTCGTCTGCTTCTCCCCTGCTTCTCCCCTTCTCCCTCCCTCCCTCTTACCTCCCTCCCTCGCCCCATTTCCCCTCCCCTTTCTCAAACAATCTAAAACTCACTCCCTCCTCCCTCCTCCCTCCTCCCTCGCTAACCCCTCCCCTTCTCCCTCCCTCCCTCTTACCTCCCTCCCTCGCCCCCATTTTCCCTTCCCTTCTTATTCTATCAACTCTCTAATTCACCCACCCATCCTCCCTCGCTAACCCTCCCCCTCACGCAGTCTGGCCCTACAACCTCGTCACCTGCGCCCTCTTCAACACGCTCCACGCGCAGCAGTACGCCGGCGTCGGCTCGCGCGGCGGCTTCTCGCGCGAGAAGTTCTTCTACATCGCGTTCGCGGGGAGCGCGTGCTGGTATTTGGTGCCGGGTGCGTGTTTTAAAGGTTTTATCAAATGTATTCCATGCGTCTGCGACGCAGGCGCGGCCTTATCGGAGAAAGGTCTGCGACGCCGCCGGCGCGTTGTCTCGCGTGCCCGTCGTTGTACATGTCCCATGACAGCGGGGTTGCGGCGGACATCCGTATAAACGGTCTGCGCCGCGGCCCACCGTTTTCTCGGCGGCCACGCGTAGCACAACGCTTTACAAGCGAATGCTCCTGCGCCGCGTCGCTCGCCTCCCCCGCCTTCCGATCTCCATGCTTCTCTCTCTGCTTTTAATCCCGCCACTCCGCCCCGTCCATCGTGCTCGCTAGTCGCAAAGGCGAGGCAAGGCCATGCCGGGTCGAGGACCGAGGTTGCGCGTTCGATCGGCACCCCTTCCTCGTCTTCCTCTTCTTGTCTCTCTTTTCTTTTCAATTGCGCTGCTGACGCGCGCACCGTCCATCGTGCTCGCTAATGCTCGCACAGGCTACCTCTTCACCGGCCTCTCGTTCTTCTCGTGGGTGTGCTGGATCAAGCCGAACAACATCGTCGTGAACCAGCTGTTTGGCGTGAACTATGGGTTGGCGATGGGGATGGTTACGTTTGGTGCGTTGTTTTCTGCCTTGCTTTTTTTTTTGGACTGGGGCGGACGTCTGTCCGGACGACCGCGCGTCCGAATTGCCCTTATCTCTCCTTTTCCTTTCTGATCTCGCTGGGACCTTTGTTCCGTTGGTGGGCTGGGATCGGGGACGGCGAGTGCGTGCCGTCGCGCGGCGAGAGGTCGGACGTCGGATATCATTCAACGGCGCTCAGCGCTTCCCCACTCCCTTGACGCTCGTGCCCGTCCAGTCGCCCTCTTCCCCTCCCTCCTCTCTATTTCTTCTTTTTTTCTCGTGGTCGTGGTTCAACTCGCATGCTCACTCCTACCGCATGCTCACTCCTACCGCATGCTCACTCCTACCGCATGCTCACTCCGTTCGCAGACTGGGCCCAAATCACGTACATCGGCTCCCCGCTCGCGACGCCCTGGTGGGCCGAGGCGAACATCGCCGTCGGCTTCGTGTTCTTCTTCTGGATCTTGGCGCCGGCGTTGTATGTGCGTGTGCTGTTCTCTTTTTCCCTCGTTGTTCTTTCGTCTACAGTACTAGTTGTCCTTTCTTCCACCATTTCCTTCCACATTTTTTCCCTCGTGCGCTCTCTTTTCCCTCGTGCGCTGGCGTTTGGCGGCGTCGGGAGTCTAGGGTGCCGCCGCGACATTCGGACGTGCGCACGGTGTATTTGGCGCGGGACACACCCCGCTCGTCGGGCGCTACTTTGTATCCGTTAGCGCCCGTGGACCCACACGCTCCGCCTCTTATGGCTTCTTACTGCGCGGCGGGGCCTTTTATTCTGTCCATCTGTCCATCTTGCTGGTTCGATTTGGATATCCCGCTGTCGTTCTCCCGCGTTGTTGGGCGTTGTGGGATGCTGCATGGGGACGGGATGTCGGCATCCCGCTTTTATTTTGGTCTCATTCAATCGACGCGCTTCTTTGTTGCATCCCCTTTTGTTTTATCTCGCTATTCGTTCCTCAACACGGCACGAATGCTGACACATTTTATCGCAGTTCACGAACACGTTCTACTCAAAGTACATGCCCATCTCTTCCGGCGGCTCGTTCGACAACACGGGCGCGTCGTACAATGTCAGCATGATCCTGACGGAGGATAAGGTGTGTCTTTTCTTCAATCAAACGGGAAAACAGAATCGCTAACGCCTCCCAGGTATTCGACGAAGCCAAGTACAAAGCCTACAGCCCCATCTTCCTCTCCACGACCTTCGCCATCTCGTACGGTCTCTCCTTCGCGAGCATCACCGCGACGATCACGCACGCGTTCCTCTTCTTCCGCAAGCAGATCTGGACGCAGGCGCGCCGCGCCATGCACGAGCAGCCGGACATCCACGCGCGCCTGATGGCGGTGTACCCGCAGGTGCCCGAGTGGTGGTACGCGATCATATTCGTGAGCATGTTCGTGTTCGGCGTCATCTCGATCGAGGTGTGGGACACCAAGTTTCCCGTGCAGTATTTCATCCTTGCGTTGGTTATTGGTGAGTTGTTTTTTGGGCGGGATTTGCGAAGGGATGCTGACTGCGCGCAGCGTTTGTGTATATCATCCCCATCGGCATGATTCAGGCCATTACGAATCAGCAGGTCGGGCTGAACGTTATTACTGAGCTGATCATCGGGTGCGTCTCTGCCCCACCGAATGAAAGAGGATCCACTAACACAACGCAGGTACGCGCTCCCCGGCCGCCCCGTCGCAATGATGATGTTCAAGACGTGGGGCTACATCACCATGGCGCAAGCGCTCACCTTCACGTCCGACTTCAAGCTCGGGCACTACATGAAGATCCCGCCGCGGCACATGTTCACGAGCCAGGTCGTCGCGACCGTCGTCGCGGGCACCGTGCAGCTCGGCGTGCAGGCGTGGATGTTCACCAACATCGAGGGCATGTGCGACCGCGACCAGAAGGACGGCTTCTGGTGCCCGTCCACCGGCGTCTTTGGCACCGCGAGTATTATTTGGGGCGTCATCGGGCCCGCGCGGCAGTGTGCGTCTCCTTTCCCTCGTTTTTCTATCCGTGTTGGTTTAAGCCGTGCTCACGCCCGCTGCAGTCTCGCAGGGACAGATCTACTACGCGCTCACGTTCTTCTTCCTCATCGGGTTCCTGTGCCCGCTCATCGCGTGGCTCTGCACGCTCAAGTGGCCGAATAGCTGGCTGCGGTACCTCAACTTCCCCGTCATCTTCTCCGGCACCGGGCTCATCCCGCCCGCCAACTCGAACAACTACGTCCCCTGGGCCATCGTCGGGTTCATCTTCCAGTACGTTATCCGGCGGCGTCATTTCGCGTGGTGGACAAAGTACAACTGTGCGTCGCGTCCCCTCCCTCCCTCTCCGCTTCCTTCCGCTTGAGAGGTGGTGCTAATGAGTTGTGTTCTCAGACGTCCTCTCCGCGGCACTCGACTCGGGCGTCGCCGTCTCTGCGGTGCTCATCTTCTTCATCCTGCAGTACCCGCAGAACGGCAACATCGGGCTCAACACCATCCAGTCGTGGTGGGGCAACACCGTCTGGCTCAACACCGCCGACGGGAACAAGACGCCGCTCATCACGCTCGAGGACGGCGCGACCTTCGGGCCCACGACGTGGTAGTCGGCCTCGTCTGCTCTTTTTTATCTCCTTTCCCTTTCATGTGAACGTGAACGGGGTAGACTGAACGCGCATGTACGAATACTTACGAGAGAGACGAGGGGATTTATTGGGGGAAAACTTACATATATACAAGTAGTTTGCTTGCTTACGACGGTAGGTAGATCTGTTTTAAAATATGATCTTTGCTTTCTTGAACGGAGAGCCCTTGTACGATGTAAAATGGAAAATGGTGTTCGGAGGCGTGTTCAGTTTTCAACTTGCGTTTGTGTTGGGTTCCGTGTATCAAGACCGATTTGCATCGAACAAGATAGCTTTTTGCCCCAAATAGCTGGCCAACCTCAAGGCTCAACTGACCACTAAGGTCAGCCCACCTTCAACCACTGGGTTAACCGATTATCTGTATAGCCCCGTCCGCGGCCGCGGACAGCGGAGTACTTAGTTGCAGCGATGTAGATGGTTATCACATTAACTTCAACCTTGCCCACGCGTTAACATTCGGTCTGTCAGGTAGCGCTGGCGGCGCTAAGCACCCCGTCAACGTCGTGCCTACTTCAACACAGTCTTTCATGCTCCAACCGTCATTTCCGCGGCGTCGGTCCTCCGTTTCCACCTGTCCCCTGGACTCGCCCCGGTTTTCGGATGCACGCAATTGGTTAGAGATACCGGGTCCACACTAATGTGTTATTACTCCGGAGAACTCTTATCTCCTGTCCTAAGTCGGGATCCCGACTCCCAGGCCAAGATAGCGCGCTCCACGCGCACCCACGCCCAGCTGACTTGGAGCGTCGTGGCGCCTTCGCTTGGCCTTCGCTCACGCGCGACGCCACATTCAGAATGTTCTCCAACACCAAGGCCGCCGAGCTATTGACGCGTGTCAGATTCCAAGTCAAAATTCCGTAAACTCTTTCTTCCAGGCAGACCGTTCTACCAAACATTTTTTTGTAGGTTGGGATTTTTTTTCCATCGCCTCAATTAAATCCGTGGAGTGATGAGTCTGCTCCGATCGCTCGCGCTCCCGCCGCGTAGTCCAACGGTACGATGTCAGCATTTTCAGCATTTGAATCAGCTGGAGATTGCGGGTTCAATTCCCGTCGCGGCCATTTTTTATCTGGTCCTGAAAAGGATAGGAGGAGGAGGAGGAGGATGTATTACTGCCGGGGTCCCAATAAGGAACAAGCAGCTACTATAACGCGTCTAATTGTACGCTATAGTCATTCTACGGTTCAGTCGTTTTGGAAGCCTATGTACCAATGTAATAGACACCTCGCAACAAAACTTGGTAGACGGGAAGCCTACTGTTCCAGAGTCCGAAACACCACGGGGAAGAACCGGGGAGCCGTTTGGAATAATTCCAGCACGAGGAAGATGAATTTTGCGAATAGCTGCACGGCCTTCCTCGATGCAACGAGTTTCAGCATGAACTTGTAGTTGGGAATCATTGTGTACAGCTCCCACACGGCTCCATCGCTGCATGCAAGTGCCCGAGCCCTCAGATCGATGAGTTGAGCCTCCCCCGCACAGTCAAACAGCGCGTGAACCTCGTCTTCCACTCCGTTCCGGCAGAACCTGCACAACCTGAGGTGTCGAGGCACCACATCCCTATATCTTGCCGATAGGAGATCGTCCCGCGATCAATCGAACATATTTGTGTTGCGTGGTCGTGTTTGGCTGATGGGGAACGACGCGCTGAGGGCACGTGATGCCGTGATCCCAGTTCCCTCAGCCTGGAACTTGAAGTTGAAGGCTGAGAATGCGGCAGAAAAACATCACTCATCGAGTCTCACTTGGGCTTAAGCGCCTGGTAGCCAGATGTCCCGGTCCGCTTTCAACTTGGCTAGCTACGTCAATTTCTCCCCGAGCCAACCGGGCCCAACCCGTACCCGGCTCAAACCCGGCTGCTACCGACTACCCCATCCGCGCAAAGCAGTCACATTCTGGCATGCTCGCGACCGACCAGTAACTTTGACCTCTGTGGCGGGGCAATGATCATCCTTCTTGTGGCCGGTGAATTGACGCAACCCGCAGGCTTTTCCGCCTTTCCGTGTATCCGCGAATAATTACCTCCCGCCGAGGTGGCCAGAAAGATCTACGGATAGCATACTACAACTTGAAGCCTTTGTAAAGCCCGGGAATCATAATAATGTTGTCTTACGCGGGGAATTTCAGCCAGCTTACTGACCCTCCTCGGCCATGGTAATTATGTTGACAGTACTGTGCGCGGGCGGTCCCCGCAGACGTCGGGCTCGTACCATAGAAATTTTCCCACTGAAGGCAGAAAATAGGACTCCGGGAATGTACAACACAACCTCCTGCATCACTCGACTGTTCAGAACGACGTCCAGTACGATTCACTAAACCAACCCACCTCGGCATTCAAAGCTCATATTCCCTTACTGAAACAAGCAGGTAACTATCCAGCAGGGATCCAGCGATTGCACAACCGTCAGGATTAGCGGTTGAAGCTTGACTTGCTCGACAATCGAGTTGGATGCATTCAAGCCTTCTCATTTTGTTGAAAGCCTCAGTAAAATCGAACTAACACTGCAGAAGAGCAGAAGAGCAACCCAAGGTCGGCCCAAGCTTCAGCCGTGATAAGGAGGTATTTTTGTTGATTGGTCTCATGCCCTGGCCATGCCGTTTCCCTCTCGAATCTCGGTTCAAGGTTGACCACCTTTTTTCCATCTGCGTGTATAATCCGTTTGCGAGCGGATTGAGGCCCTGGTCAGGGAGTCCGATTCGAAAATAAGTACTGGATCACCCATTATTTGCATATTTGACCGTGGCCCGGCACACACACCGCTGGGCGGCAGGTGGGGAAACTTCCCACGGTCATGGTCCCGAAGCCGTAAATCGAACCTGTCAGTATTGGCCTGTGACAAACCAGACATTTTAACTCAACCCAGAGTACCCTAGGTACAGCGTTGCTGAGGACAAATTTCTATGGGTCAAGGAGGACCCAGTAACGAAACCCGACGGATATTCGAAAATGGCATAAACCGACACGAAGAATCCTTATTTGAACCATGCTCAGAGTAAACATTTCTGGAACTCCCATCGACCGTCATATCGTCTCGTCATATCGTCTGACCTTAGCGGCCGCTTTTTCCGCACACTCCGCATCCACCCCGCATCCTGTATGGGTGAAGACCCCATGGTCTCCACACAGGACCTATAAGTATCAAAGAATCCAGGACATCTGTCTGCTCGCCAACAATGTCCTTCCCTCAGTATGCAAAGCTATTCCAGGTCTTTGTCCCCATCGCGAGTGGGCTCCTCTGCTACATCCTCATTTATGCCTCTCGAATTGCATACCGCAATATGACCTCGCCGCTGCGTCATCTGAGAGGTCCCAAGAATCCCAGTTTCCTGCTTGGCAACTTCCAGGAAATGGCGGTAGGTCAATTGTGGAACTACAGACATGATTTTCTTATTATGCGTAGGATGACGCTCTGCTAACCAGCGAATGGCGGAAGGCATTCGGTCGCACCTTTCTATACAAAAGTCTTTTCAGTGTCGGTGACCAAGCGCCATGTCCTTCTCTTCCCGCTGAATTTTTTTTACAGATCAACGAGCTTCACACGTCAGACATCACAGCTCTCGCCCATATTTTCACCCACAGCTCAGTGTATCAGAAAGCTCCGTCCACCATCGTCAATTCTGAGATTTTACTGGGGACCGGTGCGTCGATCTCAATATTTTTGGGAGGAATTTAACCTTGGTCGTTTAGGACTGCTTTCGGTTGAGTTGGATGAACATAAGCGTCACGCAAGTGTTTCTCGCTCGTATGCCAGTGTGCTGCTGACGCGGTTCAATGAGTAGCGAAAAATTATGGCAAGTCGTAGCCAGCGTGCGACGGACCCTGTTAATTTTCATCCAGAATCCAGCCTTCGGCGTTGCCCAAATTCGGCTCATGACCAGCATTTTTGTGGATAAGGCACTCCAGGCATGAGAAAATCCTCTCCACATGACGCATTGCCATTGATCACGCGCCTACTCATAGCTCCGCGACATTTGGGCTCTTGAAGTGGAAAAACAGAACGGCTCAGCTCGTATGAACGTTTCCACCTGGCTCCGCCGTGTTACATTGGACATCATTGGCAAAGCAGGTGCGAGCACTTTCACAAAAGATGAATGCCGGACTTCAGCTGCATTCAGGTTTCGACTACGAATTCGATTCACTTCAACCAAACGGCAAGCCGAACGAACTCAACGAAGTGCTCAGCCAGCTGCTTCACTCCCCGGAAGCCAATCGTTACGCAACATTCAGACACTCGCAGGGCCTCTTGCCGATCCTCAGGTTCATGGTGAGTAACCAATGTTTCAGTCTACCTGGATCCTCCATGGGGAGCGGCTAACGGTAGCGTCTCTTAGCCCGGGCCCGGCTGGAACCTCACCCTTGCCGCAAAAAGGAGAATGATTTCTATCGCGAGTAGGCTCGTGTCCGCGACCAAGGCCGATATCAAGGTCCCAGAGGATGGGATCCCTTTCAGAGACAAACGAGATCTTTTGACGCTCCTCTTGAAAGCAAATATGTCAGCGGCTGTCCCGCAGGAGCAACGTTTGAGCGAAGATGAGGTGATTGCACAGATTCCGACATTTCTGTTCGCTGGTCATGAGACTACGAGGTGCTCTCCCTGTCTAATGTTGAGTCAACATATGGAGCGCTGACTCGTACCATCAGTTCGGCGATGGCTTGGGCGCTTTTCGTGCTCTCGGAAAATATTGCTGTCCAGAACAAGCTGCGCGAAGAGCTCTTGACTTTCCCGAGGGACGACCCTACCATGGACGAACTCAACTCACTCCCGTACCTTGAGAGCGTCATCCGAGAAGTCATGCGGCTGCATCCCCCTGTTGTATTCACCCATCGCATGGCGGTGGAAGACGACGTGTTACCTCTGTCGAAGCCGTACGTGGACAGAGAGGGGAAGACGCACAACACCCTTCTGCAAGTGTTCTCGTCAAGTCGTCTGTCGCATCTAAATCGCCTGCCAGGGTTCCCAAGGGCCAGATGGTCCATATACCGATCTTGGCGGTTAATACAGACACGGACATCTGGGGCGGGGATGCGACTGAATTCAAGTGCGTTCTCAGATGCCAGAGTCGAGAACTTGAACTGACGATATTTTTGAAAGGCCGGAGCGGTGGGAAAAGATTCCTGACGCCGCCAGCGCAATTCCAGGTGTTTGGGCACACCTAATGACGTTCCTCGCCGGCCCGCACAACTGTATCGGCTTTCGTTTCTCTCTCGCCGAGTGCGTGCGAATTTCAAAATTGCCCCGCATTCCAACTGATCCGATCCTGCTAGATTGAAGGCCCTCCTCTTCACGCTAGTCCGGGCATTTGAATTTGAGCCAGCCCTGCCCAAGGGTGCAATTGGTCCTGCAATGACTCGGTTCCAACAGAGACCGATAGAGCTCGCTGGGGGTGCAGGAAAGGGTATTCCGCTAATTTTGAAGCCATATAACGGACAAGTCTGAGGTTGGTGTTCTCATATTACGGACACTTCAACAAATGCGACCTTTTGAAGGAAATGCTACTTTTTAACCCCGTCACACTCATATTTTACACCCTACGTGACGTTAGTATCCCCAATTTCAGGCTTTCAGCAATTATAATGCGAGAAAGACGAAGACAACTGTGAACACCGTCAACTTGAATGTATAAAGCGGGTGTCTGAATCATCAACACGGACTAACACAACAGACCTAAGCGGACGATGTGACCCTAAGAGTGCCAGCCCATGGCACCCAAATAATGATCCCAAGATGATCGTCAAGCGCCAACTCACCTCGGGAAGAATATTCTCAATGATGCGTTCATTCCCGCCGAAGGATACCGAAAGCAGGTAGTGTTTGTTCGGTTCAGACGTCGCAACGACCACCCGCACTGTGCTGTGGTTGACACTAACGTTGGAATACTTGAAAAAATGCGCAGGAAAAACAAAAGTGTGAGTCATAACCGCGGATATCGAGACAGCGGTAGGATCGAGATAGTTCACACAGATGGCAGCGACATGGGAATTTGGTCTTGTGAAGCAATGTTTCACATATAAGTGCTGTGTCTCGAAATTGAATGCAGCACTCACGCGTTTTGGGCAGAT